ATATACAGTAAAACCCCGCTATAACGAACCCTGGATATAACGAACCTTCCCTTATAACGAACCCACGCCGATTCCCAATTCCATTCCATTGAAAATACCATCGTTATAACGAACTTTGCGATTTTTAGAATAACGAACTACCCCTATAACGAACCTATTTCGGGTCCCAAAATGATAAAATCTATTAAAAATACTATGCTTATAACGAAATTAGAATTGTAATTTAAAAAAATAATAATAAAAAAAAAAATTTTGAGCATGTTTAAAGCTCGCGGATGGCGATTTCAAAACAATAAATTTAGCGGCATTGTTTGTTTGATTTTTGCACTCTATTCTTGCTGTATGTTGTATAAATTTTTACACATTATACTTTTTATTAATTAGAATATCTTTGCATCCATTAAATTTGAAATATAAAAAATGCAAATGGCTTCCAAAATGAAGAAAACAAAGGCATTTTAAAAACAAAAGCATTATTTCTTAAAAAAAAAAAAAGGCCATTTTCAGAACTTTTCAAAGTGAAACAACATAGGCAAAATGTTAAGAACATATTAAAATAAGAGAATATAACTTTTCTATTATAAAAGATAAAATATAAAGTTATTAAAAATTGTTACAAAGAGGAATCAACTTCAACTTTTGCCGCGATCGCGATCGTACGTTTTAGGGCTAAAAAAAAAAAGTCCAAATAAACGGTCCCGTGATGAAACAAAAATTATTTTTATGCCATTAACTATGGTGATTTTAAAGTCAGCAATGTTTTGCATGGTAGGTTAAAAAAAACGAAATCTAGACCTAGAAGAATATGGGGAAACATGAAATGGAAGAAAAACACTAACTTTATTTGAATGGTGCAATGCTTGGAAGAATGCTTTGAAACAACAAGGTATTAGAGCCATTTTTCCAAGTAAAAATTGTATTATATAATGTGATAATGATGTTTTAAAATCATTTCATATCTTTGAATATATATTTAATAAAACTTTGCCTAGGATTTGTCTTGATTTTTAACTTAGACATAGAGGTACATGTATGTTAATCATAAGAAGAACCTATTATCTAATGATTTCTATTATTATTCAGTATTAATATAAGGAAATTAGTCAATTAAGGGAATTAAAATAAAGTGACCACTATTAAGAGGCAGCCTCTACTTGTGTGTATGGCTGTTTTTTAATTATACATTCTAAAATTTTTGAAAAGTAAAAAAAAAATAGCCAAACCGTGGCTATAGTGAACCGTGGCTATAGTGAACCAAAAGCTCTGTCCCATTGGGGTTCACTATAGAGGGGTTTTACTGTATGTCGTTTTTTCCAGATATTTGCCTAGAAAAGATAAAAGCAGGAGTTTTTGACGGACCTCAAATCAAGAGGCTCCTGAATTACAAACATTTTCTAATAACCATGAATGGAATTGAAGAAGCAGCATGGTCAGGCTTTAAGGCTGTAGTACATGGATTTTTAGGTAATAGAAGAGACGATAATTACAAAGAGCTTGTTCAAATATGCTTAAAAGCTATGAAGCTTTGGGTATAAATATGAGTATTAAGGTTCACTACTTGCATAGTCACCTGGAAAAATTCCCTGATAATCTCGGTGCATATTGAGGACAAAGCGAGCGATTCCATTAAGACATAAAAGTGATGGAAGAGAGATATCAAGGTGTCTGGGACTGCCACATGATGACAGATTACTGTTGGAATCTGACCAGCGACCTGTCAGAATACACTTATAAGAAAAATCAAAAAGGTTGAAATTCATGAAGGATTGACTGTAGCATTTTACATTTTTTTGTATAGATTCAGTTTTCTTATACTACAGTACATAAATTTTGTACCTTTTGTACACACAAGTACCTTTTGGTATGATGTTCTCAGTTTTTATTTGCGTTCAATGTGTTTTTCGTACCGCTTATATGGACTGATGTACCACATTGTGGCCTAAATATGCATAGGTTATATCATTAAAAATTGATGAGATACATAAAAACTAACATTATATTCGTGATCAGCACCTTAAATTTAGTCAGAAACTGATGCATTATCAAAAACATATTTTTCGGTGTAGACCAGTGTAATCCATCTAGTATTTTATTTTATTTTTTATTATTATTTTTTTTTAATTCTAAGCAAAGTCAACATTTTATTTTCAGGGTCTAGTAGCTGTTTCACCAGTTCAATCTCCTCTCTCTCTCTCTCTCTCTGAGGTCCCTGCGCCTTCGAGGCGACAATAGATTCCTGCGGCCACCAGACCTGCTGGCTCAACACGGGCCGCGCTCCTGGATGCTCAGCACCTGGGGGCCTTCTGCCAGCGTCTTCTGCAGGAAAATGCCAGCTCCAGCTATCATGCGGAGTACGAGGCGGAGACCATCATCCTGCGGGGATTGGCAACTCCCATTACCCGCCTCACCAGCCAGAGGGTGCGCCGGGCACTTGATTCGGCACGGCTCAAGGAGTATCCTGTTGCCGAACTAGCTGCGTGGTGGATCTCTACCATGGATGTGCCCCGCTCCATTCCCTGGGCCGACCTGCGTCACAACTGCTTCTCGGGGCACTACGCAGATGTTGCCCTACGGCTGGCCCTCCACGCCCTACCCCATCCTGCCTCGAGGCGTGCCAACTGCGCCGCCTGTGGGTCCAGCGATGGGTTGCTGACCCACAGATATTGGAGTTGCCGAGCTGTGCGACTCTTGATCCGGGAGGTGTTTGCCTCCTGCGAAGTGCCCCTGGATCTGCAGGCCTGGCTGTTCGGCGTCGGCCTCCATCCCGAGGCAATGAAATTGACCAGCGTGGTAAAGGCTACCATCTACAAGTACCATCTTGGTCTTGAGGTGGATAACGCCAGCCATCTTATCAACCTGACCACTCTGTGGGAAAGAACTCTCGCAGTCCACCGGTGGCGGAGTCTTTCCCGCGGTGGGCGCCACCAATGACGACTTGTATATATATTTATACTAGACGAATGGCCCGGGCAATGCCCGGGTTTTACCCGAGTGCGTATATATTTTTAAAATGTTTTAATTAAAATACTATTCGTTACAATTATAAATTGGCGCCGTGGATGTCTCTCTTGTGAAACGTCCCGCCCCAAACTGTGTGTGTCTTGAAAATATAAAAATAAAAATGTGAACGGAAAAATATGTCCAGGGTAGCCTAGTGGTCATGGGATCTGCCCCGTAAGCGGAAGGTCGTCGGTTCGATTCCCATCCCTTGACACTTTTTTTATTTTATCCATTCTGACCAAAATCTATCCGTGAACTTCACACAGTGAACTTCACACAGAGAGACTAAGGCAATTATATAAGTAGATAATCCAAATTGTGCCTTATCACACACAATTTTTTTATTTGGCCTTATTACCTTGTGTTTATAATCTATGACGTAATGCCGGCGGCGCGCGTCCGTTGGCTGCCGGCGAGCACGTGACCTCCCTGTGCGCGCGCATCCGTGACAGAGGCGGCTGATGAGGAATGAGGAAAGACGGTCGTGACTATATATATGTTGATAATAATAATATAATAATAATTATTATTATTATTATCATTAGATAATGATAATGATCATAATGATGATGCGCGCGCATCCGTGACAGCGAAGAGGAATTGAAGAAAGACGGTCGTGACTATATATTAACTAGACGAATGACCCGGGCAACGCCCGTGTTTTACCCGATTGAATGTTTTTATTCCAATACTATTTGTTACAATTATAAATTGGAGCCGTGGATGTCACTCTTGTGAAACGTCCCGCTCCAAACTTTACATGTACATTAGGTCAGCTGGTATTACCCCTCATTTTCACCGCTAGAGGCACGAGCGAATTGACTTTTTGTAAATATACATAATTATAAAGATAGAAGCTTCTATAGAAGATAATGATCATGAGGTTGATGCGCGCGCATCCGTGACATGAGGAATTGAGGAAAGACGGTCAGGACTATATTTATTAATAATAAAATAATAATAATAATAATTTTTATTATTATCATTAGATAATGATAATGATCATAATGATGATGCGCGCGCATCCGTGACATGAGGAATTGAGGAAAGACGGTCGTGACTATATATGTTGATGATAATAAAAAATAATAAAAATAATAATAATAATATAATAATAATTATTATTATTATTATCATTAGATAATTATAATGATTATAATGATGATGCGCGCGCATCCGTGACATGAGGAATTGAGGAAAGACGGTCGTGACTATATATGTTGATAATAATAATAATAATATAATAATAATTATTATTATAATTATCATTAGATAATGATATAATGATCATAATGATGATGGGCGCGCATCCGTGACATGAGGAAAGACGATCGTGACTTTATATGTTGATAATACAATAATAATAATAATATAATAATAATTATTATTATTATTATCATTAGATAATGATAATGATCATAATGATGATGCGCGCGCATCCGTGACAGCGATGAGGAATTGAGGAATTGAAGAAAGATGGTCGTGACTATATATTAACTAGACGAATGACCCGGGCAACGCCCGTGTTTTACCCGATTGAATGTTTTTATTCCAATACTATTTGTTACAATTATAAATTGGAGCCGTGGATGTCACTCTTGTGAAACGTCCCGCTCCAAACTTTACATGTACATTAGGTCAGCTGGTATTACCCCTCATTTTCACCGCTAGAGGCGCGAGCGAATTGACTTTTTGTAAATATACATAATTATAAAGATAGAAGCTTCTATAGAAGATAATGATCATAATGATGATGCGCGCGCATCCGTGACATGAGGAATTGAGGAAAGATGGTCGTGACTATATATATTAACTAGACGAATGGCCCGGGCAACGCCCGGGTTTTACCCGAGTGGGTATATATTTTTAAAATGTTTTAATTAAAATACTATTCATTACAATTATAAATTGGCGCCGTGGATGTCTCTTTTGTGAAACGTCCCGCCCCAAACTGTGTGTGTCTTGAAAATATAAAAATAAAAATGTGAACGGAAAAATATGTCCAGGGTAGCCTAGTGGTCATGGCAATCTGCCCGGTAAGAGGAAGGTCGTGGGTTCGATTCCCATCCCTTGACACTTTTTTTATTTTATCCATTCTGACCAAAATCTATCCGTGAACTTCACACAGTGAACTTCACACAGAGAGACTAAGGCAATTATATAAGTAGATAATCCAAATTGTGCCTTATCACACACAATTTTTTTATTTGGCCTTATTACCTTGCGTTTATAATCTATGACGTAATACCGGCGGCGCACGCCCGTTGGCTGCCGGCGAGCACGTGACCTCCCTGTGCGCGCGCATCCGTGACAGAACCGGCCCATGACGGTCGTGACTATATATATATGGATGGATAATAATAATAATATAATAATAATAATAATAATTAGTATTATTATAATTATTATTATCATTAGATAATGATAATAATCATAATGATGATGCGCGCGCATCCGAGACAGAACCGGCCGGCCCATGACGGTCGTGACTATATATATATTAATTAATAATAATAATAATAATAATAGAATTATTATTATTATTATTATCATTAGATAATGATAATGATCATAATGATGATGCGCGCGCATCCGTGACACGATTGACGGTGGAAAGACGGTCGTGACTATATATGTTAATAATAATAATAATAATATAATAATAATAATAATTATTATTATCATTAGATAATGATAATGATCATAATGATGATGCGCGCGCATCCGTGACACGATGGACGGTGGAAAGACGGTCGTGACTATATATGTTGATAATAATAATAATATAATAATAATTATTATGATTATTATCATTAGATAATGATAATGATCATAATGATGATGCGCGTGCATCCGTGACACGATTGACGGTGGAAAGACAGTCGTGACTATATATGTTGATAATAAAATAATAATAATAATATAATAATAATAATTATTATTATTATCATTAGGTAATGATAATGATCATAATGATGATGCGCGCGCATCCGTGACATGAGGAATTGAGGAAAGACGGTCGTGACTATATATGTTGATGATAATAAAAAATAATAAAATAATAATAATAATATAATAATAATTATTATTATTATTTTCATTAGATAATGATAATGATCATAATGATGATGCGCGCGCATCCGTGACATGAGGAATTGAGGAAAGACGGTCGTGACTATATATGTTGATAATAAAATAATAATAATAATATAATAATAATTATTATTATTATTATCATTAGATAATGATAATGATGATGCGCGCGCATCCGTGATTGAGGCCGATGAGGAAAGACGGTCGTGACTATATATAGGGATATATCAATTGTTTTATATACAGGGTGTGCCAGGTAAATTGGTACTAACTTTGACAGTCCATAAAACAAAAACAACTTGAGATTAAAAACTTGTTTTTTTTCATTACGTAGCCATATTTATGTAAAATGCAACAGTACATGTGTGCGCAGTGTAGTGAAGAACAGTAACCGAGAATTTGAAAATCGAGCTGCCATCATCGTTGCTCTGCGCGCCGGAAGGAGCCCCAAAGAGATAGTGGATTTTCTTAAGTTGCCCAAAACCACTATTTATCGTGTCAAGAAGCAGTTTGATGAGGCCGACAGTAACAAAGAGGGGATAGCTACAAGGAAAAAGCACTCGCGTCGATCGGACAGGGTAAGAGGTGAAGAATTTGTCAAAAATGTCAAGGAGAAGATTGATGGAAACCCTGGGAAGAGCATGAGGGCCATAGCCAAGGAAATGGACGTTGGCTCTATGACAATTGTCAGAACTATCCATGAGGACCTTGGTCTCAAGTCTTATGCCCTTCGGAAAGGTCAGTTGCTGACTGAGAATATGAAGAATAACAGAAAAGGAAAGGCTGCTGCCCTCCTCAACAACCTGAAACACGACTCTTTTGGCATGCTAAGGTTCTTCTCTGACGAAAAGAACTTTGACGTGGACCAAAAGGTAAATCCCAGGAATGATCGCTGGATCTGTAAAGACCCCTCAGAGATACCTGTCGTGATGCACACGAAATTTCCTGCCTCCGTAATGGTCCTTGGCGTTATCAGCAGTGAAGGTGATGTCATGCCTCCCCATTTCTTTGAGAAGGGCCTTAGGATGAACGCTGACACCTACATCAATGTTCTGGAGACCGTTGTGAAGCCTTGGATGGACATGGTGGCCGCAGGAAGGAAGTATGTCTTCCAACAGGACTCAGCTCCAGCCCATAAGGCAAAAAAGACACAATCGTGGCTGACACTTAACGTCCCTAGTCACTGGGGTCCTGATATTTGGCCCCCTAATTCTCCAGATTGCAATCCCCTCGACTACTATGTATGGGGCGTTGTTGAGAGAGATGTCAACAAAGCTCCTCATACCACCATCCAGTCTGTCAAGAAAGCAGTTCACACGGTGATGACCCAAATGGACAAGGTCATCGTCGCCAAGGCCTGTGCTTCATTCCGCACTCGCCTCGTGACTGTTGTAGCTAATAATGGAAACTTCATTGAATAAATAAAAACTATATCCTTTTATCTACTACTGTGTCAAATTTCATTCGGATATTTTAATTTTTACTTGCAAAAAATTTCAGTTAAAATACCATTGTTGAAATTCCCAATTCACCTGGTACACCCTGTATTTATATATATTTATTCATATATTTATCATTATATAATCTTATTTATTCATATTTATATTTATTCTGTATTTAATCTTATATGAACTTTGAAATAAATCAGTTTCAATCTCAATCTCTCTCTCTGACCACTCTACTATTATAAATACATATACTATGTTCTTTAATTGCCTAGGATAATCTTCTAAAAGCCCAATATATATTAATAAAGGTTTTTCTTTGTTTGTTTGTTTGTGTGTGTGTGTGTGTATTTTTTTGTGTATATAACCATGGTTTGACTATTTTTTTACTTTTTAGAAAAGTTTGAGCGTATAAAAAAAGGCAGTCATGCACAGCATACACAGAAAAAATATCCACAAAATATATTGTCAAAAGAAGTCCATTGATAGTTCTTCTTATCATTAGAATCACAAGGTAAAAAGACCAAATCCAAATAAATAAATATTGTGGGATGTTTCGGTAACAGCGTTGTTACCGAAACGTCACACAATATTTATTTATTTGGGTTTGGTCTTATTACTGTTAGAGGTGATTATCTTTTCATTAAATGTAAGATACTTTAATATTTGTAAATTATATTGTTTAAATAATTTGTATTTTTAAATTTAATTATAAAAAAAAATTGTAAATTTATATATGTAAATTCTTGTGCAAAATTAATGTATAATAGAGGATTTGCATATGTCTTGTTAGTTAAAAAGAAAAGTGTAGTTTTGTTTGGGCAGAGAAGCTAGATGCTCTCAAGTTAGTTGTTTTCTGAGTGTAAATATGTTTGTATAATATCTTAAAATTTTCTGCTTTAATTTAATTTAATTTCATTAATAAAATAAAAAGTTGATTTCATCAAGGAAGTATATTTATTTATTTTTCCTCTTTAAAGGCTTCAAGCATTAAAAGAAAATATTTTAAAAGGGGTGCGTGCCATCTCTGTCCTGTTTGCACCCAACAATTACCTTGTGTTTATAATCTATAATCCAAATTGTGCCTTATTTATTATCATATATGTAACATTATGTCTAAAAACACTAAGAAAAGTCCTAGGCAAAGCTTTATTATACAAAATTTGAACTATTTTTGACACGTGTGGTTCTTTTTTATATTAAACTATTTTCTACACTGTCCTTACTGCAATGATAAAATAATGGGAAGGCCTAGCTCATCAGTGGTGAACCCTCTTAGCGCTTTTCCAGTTTAATATACCATACCGCTATAATATTGCATTTGGCTGTTTTCCTTTTATACTGATACAAATGCTAAACTCTTGGAAAAAGTATTTTAAATGAACTATGGACATAGCTTTGAGGACAGTAGAAATACAAACAAACAAACAAAAAACCTTTATTAAGACACTATTGTCTTACAAGGGGATTCCCCTGAAGGTTATATATGTACATGAGTGAGGAGGAAAAGCAATCCAGAGGGGAGGGGGAGCAATCAGCCGTTGTCTGTGGAGTTGAGCACCTCTTCTCTCATTTTATCAATCGCCTTGAAAAATTTAAAATATTTATAAACAAATGCTTTATCCAGCAGGAGAGCATTAAAGATTTTACATACATGTTGTCGAGCTTTGATCAAAGAAATTCGTATCACTGGATGGTGTAACCAGCATAGAATTAAATTAAAACTATTGCAACTCAATGATTGCTGTGAAGAATGAAAATTTATTATAATTGATACAAAAATTACAGGAAAAGTATTAATTCAAAAGAGAGAGATAGAGTTTTGGGAGCTCAAGACGCGAGCAGGCGTCGACAACAAGAGAACAAAGAGAAAATGGGGGGCGAGAGAGGGCGGAAGTTGCATCATGGGCGTGACCGCCGCCGCTCGCGCCGCGGGGGGGGGGGGGGGGGGGGGGGGGGGGGGGAGGGGGGCGTCTTCTTACACGGCTTTCTTACATTTTGAAGGCCTCCCTCTGGTTATCTTCAAATAAAATGTGAAATTAAAATTCACACACACAAAAAAAGACAGTGGATCTGCAACACATGTTGTTCATTGTAGTGAGCTAGCTCCGAAATTTCGCGAATTTCCAGTCTCTTTTCATGTAGGAATGGGCAATGGAATAGATAGTGGACCAAATTGTCTTGGATGCCAACATTGCAGAAGTAGCAATTTAAAGGGTCGCTGTTCCAAAATCCTGTGATATCCTCGCGGAAAAGTAGCCATAGAATCCTTTGACGGGCTATAAATCGTTTAATTTTCAAAGGGAGGTTTGTGACAGTAGAAATACATATAATTATAATATTAATATGCTTCGAGCAATGCTCTTCTGAAAATTGCAAATAGTTTCTTTTTAAAACGCAATATTCAGATGATGCATTAGCTTGCCATCTGTTATATCATTCTATTTCTATTTTATTTTACTTCATTCTAGGTCTGAAGACAGATTTTACTCATATCCCTCTACCACTTAATACTAAGTTGGACAGGAGTGTTTTTTT